ATAGAAGATATTTTAAAGTGATTCATCAGGTGGAAAACGAATAGATAGATAATTCGATGACGAGGAACCCACTTTGAGACTAATAGATGTACCTAGGTGTAATAGATGTACTAGTACCTGATGATGACAAAACCTTGTCGAAACGTTGTACATTTGCTGTTATGTTAAACTTATTCAAGCCGTCTCCAGCCATGAATAGATAGATATATAAGCCGATATGTGGCGCCATCTAGTGTAGCTAAATACATCTAGACATTTTCATAAAAGTGACCCGAAAAACGGGGCTAACTCGGGTTACCCGTGGCCCGATTTTAACGAAACTTGTTTTATTCTGTTTCTATTCCCATTTCATTACAAATATGGTGGTATTGTGCGCCGTTTTTGCTGTATTTAATTACAGACAATCACACACACAAACCATCTCAATATTTTATCAGTACTATATGAAATACCATGCAATCAACTCAGTACAATAGATTTATGACGTGAAATTAAGTTTACTTGGACAGTTTAATGAGTTAAAGGCACACATTTTTGATAACTTCAAATACTGTCTGTATTGTATTGGTGTAAAAGCTCAAATCTCAAATATTGTTCATATTTGCTATTTGTTCTCGATATAATTGTAGCGAATTGCACAACTTTTGCTTCAATCCCACGCTCACCTGCTCCACCCTGGAATCACGAAGCCCTCACCTGCTCAGTTTGCTAGAACATTTGAGAAGTTCCTCAACGGAGCATGAAAGGGGCGGAGTCAGACGCTTCTCTCTCAGTTGCCTCTCACACACTCAATTGGTCACTTCGCCTCACTCAGTCAAAACAAAGTCCGATCTTCTTTCTCGCATCATATGTGCGTTATAATTCTGAAAACTTTAATTTTTTTAAAGTATTTCAAACTCTAGTTCTATGAACATAAATTATTTTATATTTTTTTAGAAAATCGTTTGAAATGCTGCTGCCTCCAGTTCAAGTGAAGTCCAAAAGTGCAAAAATCACCCAAACAGTTTCTGCTATATTTGTGGAAAATCTATTACAGTTTCCTGAAGAAAAAAAATCACACACAAGTTAAAGATAGCTTACTACCACTAATTTGGTTGTAAAAATGGTGACCAAAAAAAACATTTGGCTCCATGTGTGTGTTATACAGTTTGCACATCTGACTTGACACAGTTGTTGAATAGAAAACTAGCAAGTATGTCATTTGCTGTTCCCATGATATGGCATGAGCCCAAAGATCATCTAACTGACTGTTATTTTTGGCATGAGTAATGTTTCTGGATATTCAGGCAAAACTAAACAATGCCTTAAATATCCAGATATTGCATCTGGAATGAAACCAGTATCTCATGGGGAAGGTCTTCCAATGCCATATCCACCAGCGAATTGGAAAACAGAAGCGTTATCCTATGAAGAAGACAATGAATCGTCTTCACCTTCTTCGTTTTGTAATTTTATTCTTATGGCACCTCAACATAAACTACCTTATCCGGTCACACAAGAAGAATTAAATGATCTGATTCGTGACTTGTCTCTATGAAAGCAGCATGGGGAACTTCTTGGCTCTCGTTTACAGCAATGAAATTCATTAGCTTCACAAACAAGAGTTTTGATTTACTGAAGTCGCCATCAATGTCTTATTTCTAATTATAGCATGCAAGAATGCACTAGTGGAAGAATTAGGTACTAAACAACATTCTTAAGAATGGAGACTTTTTATCTAGTCATCTAGAAAGTTAGTCTGAAAGCTGTAATTTTGCATCGGGGGAACATAAAGCCATCGATTCCTGTTGCCCATGTTATGAACATGAAAGTGTCTTATCAAGGCATGCAGATTATACTTGAAGCCATCAAATATGGTCACCACAGGTGGAACATATGTGATGATCTAAAAGTTATTGCATTCCTACTAGGCCTGTTTAGTGTTGGTTTTTGTGTCTCTTAGACAGCTGAGATGATAAAAATAATTTCACAAAGAAGGAATGGCCAGTGAAAGAGAACTACATACTAGGGAAACTGAATGTCGAGTATCAACCTTTATCGAATCCTCAAAATGTGTTTCTGCCCCCACTTCATATTAAACTTGGACTCATGAAACATGTTGTAAAAGGAATAAACACCGATGGTTATGGTTTCAGATATCTGTCTGACAACTTTCCAAAAATCGATAAAACAAAAATGAAAAGAGGTTATCATTTTTTTTTTCAAATGATCTAGGGACAGTGGGCGGTGAGCATGGTTAGTAGTTTCGCCAAGATATTTCTACAATGGAACAGCGATATCAAGGATGATGGAAAATTACTGTTGGTTCTTACGGCGTAACTGAGAACATACACAAAAGGCGCAACAAGTCAAGCAGATATTTTGTAACAAAAAATAAATAATACCATGATGAAAGTTTTGAACATAGCATGAATGTACACAGCGTGGTCACAAGTAAATAGACACCACCTTTTCAGAAAAAATGAAAATTTTCAGTCATATTCACATGAATTGATATATTTATAATTTGATTAATATGTAGTAGATCTTCCTTTTGATCCTTTGGGGCATCGTGAGAATCATCTCGTCAATTTTAGATTGTTGGATTTTCGCCTACTCTTGCTTCAAAACTTGGAGTAGATCGCTCTTCCAAGTTGG